TATTAGTCAGATTTAGTAGGAAATGTAGTTCAGGAAAATTATTTTATAGTGTAAAGAAAATAGTAAAATCTATAATACTAAGGGCCATTCGACATTGGAAACCAAAACATGGCAACCTATGCACTCTCTGTTGTTGGGTTTACTAGGACAAGGGTATGAATTTTGATAGGAAATTAATGTAATATACCATGGTCATTTCACTAGTTACAATAATGTGCATTCTCTAGGTGACATATATCTTTGACACCCCCATAAGTGTAAAAGCATGTGCACAGCAAATACACTTGCCAGTCTGCACAAAGCATTTTAGAAGCACAGGAGGTAAACATCACCATAGTTACCATCTAATAGACCTGGTACCTGATTGTACTTGACAAACAACTGCAGAATGATATATTGTAGACTGTAACTGTTTCTGAAACTGAAGGAAAAGTGTATGACTTCTAATATGAAGATGCCATGTATTGTATGTGTAGTTTTTTTGTTCTTATCTGCATTTTTGCATAATTACAATCCAAACACTTTGTATAAAAGTATCCACCTCTCTGTATGATGCAACAACATCATCTCATATATCTTTGCTGCTGGTCTTTTTTTTTTAGATATGTTTCTGCTGCTAGCATTTTAGTTGCTGTATTTTAGTTGCTCATGTTGAATGGCCCTTAGGGTCAAGAAAAATGGCTCAAAAGAAGAATGTTATAGATGTAAACTTTTTGATATGTTAGTATACAGTGAAAAGTTGTTATAGATTGAAGTTCTAAGGTGACAACCATCCAAAGTCCTCTTGCATTACTAAAACATCATCAAAACTGTAGGAAGACAATTATGGATGATATACTGTAAATATAGGATTGTGTTTGATAGAAAATTATATTTTCAAATTAAAAGCCCCTTAGGTTTTATGGAATTATTGAATTGCTAGTCTGTTAATGATTAGGAAACATTTTCTCATCACATTTATGAGATTAGTACTCTTCATGATACTTGGTTAGTATATATTGTATAATACAATTTTAAGTTCTATAAATTTTCTGCATTGAAAAAGCTTTCAGTGTTCTTGTAGTACCTTACTGAAAGGTCTCTGATTAGCTGTATTGTTTTTTTTTTATTATTATTATTTATTTAACAATATTTTATTCTGCAGGTAGAGTACAAATATTTGATACTTTAAATGTATGTGTTCCTATGTAGTTTTTATTTCAGGTAAAGCTGGCTTTTAGTAAAATAATGGAAAATGTATGGTCATTAATAGGCTAATTGCACATTAGTACCTTTCTCTCACTTATTTATTATTTTATATTCAAGAATTAAAGTAAACATTTTGTAGCAAGGGCTTATCGAGCTACTAGAGCTACTAACTGTTTTGGAAAGTGCATATTAGATAGTCATTTGATAGGATAATAATATTATTACTGAAAGTCTGTGATTATATCTGGCATTGGTAGGCCGGAGTCTCTCAACACCACCCTCAACACAACCATTGACTCTGCCATGATCGAGTCTCAGATCATCCCGACTCAGGTAGCAAATCAGTTATCTGCCCAAGTGAACCAGACTCAGGTGCAGCAGCCTGTAGGTCAGAGTGCCAAGGGTCAGGTCCCTGCAGACCAAGATTCAGTACCTGAGAAGGCTGCAGAGATTCTCAGTGGGTGGGAAGGGTATGTCCTGCAGATGTTGTGTGACTCCAGGAAAGAGCTCATAGTAGTAAAAAAAAGTATGAGTATTGAGTGCATTTTTTTTTTCTTTCTTTCTTTCTTTCTTTCTTTAACTGATGATTAGCTTCAGCAACTGAATTTTGCAATTGTCTAAAAGGGACTAGTTATTGCATTTGTTTTTTTTTATGCCATTTTCTAGTTGCCAGCCAATTCTCCTTCATTCATGATGAAAATGAGTAATCCAAATTGATTGAATGACTTTTTTTCTTTCTTTCTTTTCTTTTTTCTTTTTTTTCTTTTTTCTTTTCTTTTCCCTCTTTCTCCTTCCCTCCTAGAAATGATTGAATAGGTATATTTTACTGTAAAGAAGTATTTCTTATAAGGTTTTACTGCTTAATATAACTTTCAACCCCATCACCATGATATAGGAGGATTGGAATGGCAGAAGTGAGTTGAAAATACACTAATATATGTGCAGCAAAAATGAAATGAAAAAAAGACTGCAAATTTAGGCATATAATTTAATAAGTTTTTGCTGAACCATAGATCATAGACATTTACTATTAGAAAGAAAAGACAGATTTTAATGAGCTTTCCTGGAGGAAACATACACTTTGATAGAGTGACATTTATGTGTGTGTGTGGTTTGGACCATCCCCTCATACCCTGGCCAAGCTCAGAGTTATGTCTTTTAACTCTGATCAGGAGTTTTATTTTAGGAATTTACCACACCCTGATTACAGACTTTGCTAATATTCCATACTTATTTGGCTGAATTTGCAAGTAGTTTACAAAAGCTTGAAGGGGTTTCATCTTTGATGCTTTTGTTGATTTAATCCTTCAGT